TTGCTGCTTTCTGTTTTTTTCTGCTTTCTAATTCAGCAGTTATTTCCTCCTCCACCTGCGCCCCCACCCCAGCAGACACTATACACACAACCTTTGCAGACTTGTTGAAACCAAATCTGCTGGAAACCACAAAAAAACTTTCCAGAGAGGCATTAATCCAGCGTGTGATCTCCTCAGCTCCCTGCTCGGAGAAATACGTGCACGCCCCATAGTCCTGCTCAGCCACTGGTGTGATCAGTCGTTTAGAAAGGCCAGAAGCTGTAAAATGCTTACACTCCGATTTAGTGCAACTTCACATCCTCCTTGCGCTGCTGCAAATGCCTCTACAGGCTGCGCAAGGACTAGGAAACTTTGCTCTTTTTGATAGCTGTGCCTGGCACCTACAAGTAATTAATTCCTTTGTAGATTTTTATTTTTTCACTGACTGGACGAACTGTGCCCCTCCCAGCCCAAAGGTGGTTTTGTGTTTAATAGCCATTTAAGTGTTTAATGGTCCTTTTCGTAGATAACTATGCCTATTGTGTTCAGTTGAGCTTGCCCTGGCAAAAAAAAATCTCCAGGTAGCAGGTTTTTATTCAGTAGATGAGAGTAGGTTTTAGTTGTTTGGGGTTTTTTGGGGGTGAGGGCAGGGGGGCCTAAACAGACACTAGTAATATGTGGCACATGTCTGTGGGTGGCTTATCATCAGTGTTTTACAAACATGTTAATTAAGCTACCTTGCCGCAATGAGATTGGCAAGTTAATGCTTGCCAATGTCTAAATACCTATGAAGAGCTAGGCACACCTATGGGCCCTATAGATAAGTTGGAATCCATAGAATAGGTAGAGGAATGGGGAAAACCTCCTGCAGGGCTAGACACTCATGCTCTGACTTGCTGTATGTGGGAACACTCCTAGGCAATCTTGACAGATCACCAGCTGTGGCAGGGGTTTGAGAAGACTAACATACCAGCAGTGGGGTTGCCCATCTCAGATTTTGCTGGCTTGGAAGTGCCATGTGCGAGGCAGCTCATCTGCTTTTCATACAGGACTGCAGTTGTCATGGATTTAGTCCACAGCCTTGCAAAGAAGCTTGAACTGAACCAGGGCCCCAAAGCCTGGAGGTAAACATCCTTCGTATTGCAAGGCCAGTACTAGCAATTAATGGTTTGTCCAGGATGTGGTGTAATTTCTGCAGTCATTGGACTCATTGCAAATGGAGGGGATGGAAAGAAAACAAATTCATACTTCTGCTATCTGTTTTTGATCAATTCCCTATGTGGATGTTCTTACTTCAAATTAATATTATCTGGCATCCTTGCTTCTAAATAACTACATCCATACCACAGTGTGTGGAGGGGAGAGGAAGTATAACAGGCCTGAATTAATGCATGAAGTCTTCATACCTTTAATTATAATCTGTCTGTATATGAAGTTGTTCAGCAATAAAGTTGCACAAGTTCACTGTATTTTAATTTTCAGAGGTTCTAGTAACATTCCCTTCATCCTGCTGCTTTGTGCTGGGAAGCATGAACCAAGGCAGGACCTTGAAATACACTTCTGCCTAGCAGGAGGGACTTACTATTAGTTTATAATGTAGCTCCACTATAGTTCACCTGTATCAGGATCGTACATGTTAATGATGAGCGTAAACACAACGTCAGCTCTTTTTTTATTTTTTCTAACAAAGAAAAGCTTATGTTGACAGAAGGAGCCTGACAGAGCAGATGTGTTGGTTGTTGTTGGCCGTACAAGCAGAGACTCAGCAAACAGTAGGGTATATTTACTGTGGCTGGCATCACTTTGCCAAACGCAATTTGGTCAAGGGCATTTTTCAAAGGAAAGAGGTATCTGGTGAGAATTATTCCCCCTTCCATAGAGGTCTCCTGCAACTTGAGCTGCACCTCTTCTAAACTTCAACGGAAGAAATTCCTTCTGTTCAATCCAGTCTTCGGCTCCATTCACACGTGTATGTGCCGTCCCCAGCCCAGCTTGACTCATCACTGTGACCCCAGCACCTGGGAAGTTAAAATTTAGGGACCTATATTCCCAGCATATGGTCAGCATGAGAGATCTGACCTGGTAAGCTGATGTTTCCTAGCGGGACTAGGAAAACAGTACTTCCCTTCATTCACAGCCTTCCAAATGTTGGGGAGAATAACTTTTTTCAGGCAGAAAAGTTAATTGCTATTTCTAATGGTGTAAAAGATACAGAAAGGGAGGGAAAGGCGAAACATGTAAGATCAGCATTCAAGTTGCCCATAACCTTCTTGGTTTTGTTGTTACTCATCCCATGAATGTTCAGGCTTGTCTGTCACGTCAGTGCAACCTTTTGTTTTTATGTAAAATCCATGCCTGGAAAGAGGGATTAGTTTTATACCAGAAAAAAATTGTACATGTGAAAGAGGGAATAATCATTTTTCCTCCAAATCTTGAACATACACTCCAGTCCCTTCCTGAAAAATACAAGGTGTTTATGTTTGAGCTCCATAAGACATTCCTCGGGAAGCCAGCCCTGAGAGCAGACTTCTCACAGGGAATTGGGAAAAAAGGAAAATAAAATTCTTGTTGTCTGTACTATGCACCATGGCTGAGGATTCAGGCTCTAATTCCTCTGCACATTCATTCTTCCATTACTCACCTTCTAATTAAGTGTTAGAGCTGTGTTTTTCACTCTTTTTTTTCAGCCTATTTTCAGTGTTCTTCTTTCTGTAAGTGGATCCTTACAGAGGCAACAAAAGTTTCACAATACAGAGGAAAAACTAGGTATTTGGCTCTGGCATTCCTCAGGCTGCTGAAATAAGCCATCTTCCACTGGAAGAAGAACTCTCAAAGGCGTTTATTAATTTCCTTCCAAAGTGCAGCAGGAGCCATACCAGAAAATTACAAGATTATTGGTAGTGCTTGGGCATGTAAATCCTTGTACTTTTGTCTCCCCTATATCCTCCTCCCCCATATTCTGGTATCAGTGCTCTCCTTTATTTTGCACAAGTGTAATGGGCCACCCTTTCAGTTTCTACTGTTTTATTCAGTTGTCTGTCTGCTGTCTTCTTTTTTCCAGATTATTGCAGTGGTCATGGATATATTTACAGACCGGGACATCTTCCGCGATATTGTCGATGCAGCGTATAAGCGCTGGATCCCCGTCTATATAATCCTAGATGAGGAGGGTGTGAAGCTGTTCCTGGAAATGTGCAGATGCCTTGACCTCAGTGACTTGCAGATCCGGGTAAGATATTCAATACTGAACCATTACCTCCTGCAGGTCAGTGGCCTTTTTCAGTTGTAATGAATCTTGGAACTCACTTGGACACGCAAACATCTCTTTCTCCCTACAAGTCATATCACAGCACTTAGACAGGGGTTGATGAAATATAGAGGGATAAGAGAGTGGCTTGTTAATACAAAAGGAAATATTTGTATTTTTTGCCTTTCACCTGAGGCAGGGGTCTATGTAGTTTCTTGGTTCTTGTGGCCTAAAAATTCTTGTTTGGGAAGAAAATTGTCGGAGGAAATTCCTGTGGGTCTCCTATGCAAGGATTCAAACTAGAGTCCAGAGTAGCTCTTTGAGTTGCTGTCTGCATGGATCCCAGTTACAGGACACATATACTCTGTGAAATCAAGACTCTCCTGTTCAGCAGTGATCATCTGGGAGTGAATGCGCTTGTGGTCTTCCTTTGCCTGAGAACACAAGGGATTGGGGAGCGTAGCTGTTCCCCAGTTCCATATCAAAGTATGCCTTCACATAGTGCATACATCACAGCAGAGTAGTCAGTCTAGCTTGGCTGGCAGAAATAGTCTCAGTAGGATCTCATTCCATTACATACAGACTGAAATCCTCTGTGTGTTTATAGTTAGTATTGTTTTCCTTGCTTTTTTTCATGTTTTTTAGTCACTGTCACTACTACAGACTTGTTCCAAATCCTGAAAAAGTTGCTAGGTTGGAAACAACTTACAGGATGCAAGACTCACTCCTCTTGTGATCCAACTTTTCTTCTGAGCAGTGAAAAAACCAAAAAAAGTGCCTTTTTGCCTGGAGGAAGGGCAGATCTTCCATAAACACTTAATTAAGAGTTAAAAAAAAAAAACACAAAAAAACCAAAAAACAAACCAAAACTCAAAAAGCTCTGAAGGTTTTAGAGGCTCATATTAACCATTTTAGGAGAACTATCTTAAATCTGGATGAAAATGACTTGCATATATCTGAACAGTGCTCCTGTGAACTACCACTCTGCTCGGAGTTTCTGGACTTCTCCATCAAAAAAGACATCCAGCCGAGTAGTTTTCTCATCTTTCTCCGAAACAGAGATGGAAGTTTCTTTCCTCTGGTGTCTTTGAAAGCAAGACACAGCCATCATTATAATAGACCCGTTTCAGGCTTCATGGGTATTCTGTGGCCTAGCTCAAGTCTCTTTGGTACAAAACTGTGAAATCACAGCAGTAGTTCCATTTGCTCCAGTACCTGTTTTACGGTACTTTTCTTACAATGTTATCATGGGCAGGAATGATGACTTCAGTACTGCATATTTTAACTCTGGGATAGAGTGAATGAAAAGATGCCCTGGTGTTTTAGAAAAAGTTGCAATGCTATTGGAGAGGTGAGTTGCTTTTTGTCTGCCTTCTCCGTCATTAAACAGTAAGCAGTCCCCTTCTGCTCTTCCTCTTACCTCTTTCTACATAGGTATCTACACAAACTTTACACTCCAAAACCAGTCATCACAGTGGCATTCTACAGTAGTGACTAGGTCCTGCAGCAGACTAGTTGCGTTGCAAGGTCACCTTTTCCAAAGAGGCAGAGTTCGAATTGGTGCCATCAAAGGCAGGAGAAAACTCTTCTGTGTCCCTTCTGTGCTTCCCTTCTTTCACAGCGGCCCTTGCTATGTTTCTCATTAGACTCCTTCAGCTGAAAACAGTCCAAATACAAGCTGAGCTGAAGGAGGTCCACTGAGAAGAACTTTTTAACATCCTTCTTTGACCTGGTTGTTCATGCCTCTGCAGAGCTCCAGCCCAGAGAGTGCCGTCCTTCAAATTTTTCCTCTCGTTTTTTCCCAGCCATCTCATACTGTGTCTGAAATTCCTCTTAAGCTTGTTGTATTCCTTTTCCAGTATGGCTAAGGGTTTAGTTAGTCTTGTTAAGGTCAATGCAGTTTATTCCTGTCTATGGTACTATGGAAGGATTGGGAAGAGTCTTCCTGTAAGGGGAAACAGGTCATTTACCTCTCAAGGAAGATGGCCTCTTATTATCCTGGCCAAGGCTGCCTTGGATGTATCTGTGCTGCTTCTTGGGACAGTATGACAGAAGAAATCATACAGTGATTCCCCCAGCAGCAGGCTTTAGATACCCACGGAGTCTCAAGCAAGGTTTAGTCTTCTCCTGGAAGACCCCTCCCCACCCCCACCTCATTGATCTAATGCGTCTCGGGTTGTTTTTAACTTTTAGTGCTGAAGACCCAGATTTGAAGCAAGAAAGCAAGCTGGTCCTCTGGTTTTGTTCAGGCAGAATCATTTTGTCCCCATTGCTTGATCCCAGAGGATGTTGGAATTGCTGAGAAAGAACAGGAAACTCTAGTGCAGTTAACTTTATCATTCAACCATTTCTTATTTATGATATGTCTTCCTCTTAACATCTGCTTTGATGTCTGAGTTTGTTCTACAGATTTTTAGCAACAAAATTCTTTCCTTCCACCGTCTTTCTGTGTAACCATTTTGCTTGCTTCTAAAATATTTTAACCAGTGGGCCGCAGCTTATCAGCAAAGGAATTGCATACTCTTCCTTCCTACCCTTCTTCTCACCTTTCCTTTGGAAGACTTGTGCAAGATTTACAGGATGGCTTTTTCTCAGAAAGTTTCAGCAATTTGGGAGGTAACTTCAAGTTTTAGAGGCAAGTTCTGATCCCAAGGAAAGACAGAGACAGACGACACACTACGGTGTGCTGTCATTGCTGCAGGGTCAGGGTGCTTATTCTGTCTTCTGTCATCACCAGATGCTCGGATTGTTCTGTGATTCCTGCCCTTTTGTTTCCATTGCCCTGTTCATCCAATGCAGAGTGGTCCTAACACAACGGTCCTAACACAGGGAGATTTACTGTTAACACTGGATTTTGCCCTTTGTCTACATACAGTGCTGGGCGTTTTCACAAAATTCCTGGCTATTGTGTCATTTTGAGATGACAGGGTATTATGATCTGCTGGCAGTCTCACAGGAGGAAAACTGCTATAGGAAGACAGTATCTCACTCTGCAAAGACAAAACGTTCTTTACTGACTCCAAGCATGAAATGAGAAAAACTCATTTTTTGTCTGAAGGCCAGAGATCACTAGAAATGCATTTAAATTCAACCATCAGCACGTTCATCCTGGGATGTTGGTAAGAGTGTGTCTTTTGTGTATGAGTCGTATGGCTTCCTGAGCCTACAGGACATCATTTGCCAGACTTCTGTTCTGTTTGACACAGGAGTGTTCTTTGGAGATCACAATGAATCAGAGTTCTCATAGATATAAAATTCATAGTCCCATAAACAGTCGTCTTTTTATTGACCCGAGGGTGAGTGTTCTCACCAGTTTTTAATGAGTTCTCTTTCTCCCCATGCTTATGCTAACCAAGACCCCAGTGACAGACACTCCTGATCAAAGACAGGGAGTTCACCTGGAGCTCCAAGCAAGCCCAGGGAATGAGTTATCTGCAGGAAGTTCACCTTCATGCTAATTTTTACATTCATTTTCTCAACATTGAAGGAGTTGCCTCACTCCAGGAATTGTTAAAAGTTTCTGCCTAAGAAATTTTTGAAGTTTCATTTCAGGATTTCATGTCTCTACTTCTGAGCTTTCCTCATCCAATCCTAACTCAAGTAAGGGAGAAGCTGAATGTAATGTGATGCAGTGCTGCTGGTTTGTTAATTATCTATTAGAGAATTCTTCTAGGCTGCTTGTGACCTTTTGAAAATGGGGGCTTACAAGGCTCTCTTTTTGCAAATTCCCAAATAAGTGATACTCAGTAATGACCTTGGCAGGCCAGGTCCAGCTACCTGCATTCCGTCCCATTCTACTTGAATACCTGCAAGTTTTGCTATTTTGTTAACAAGCATAACTTTTTCAAAACTGTTCAGGACAAACACAGAGGATGATTCCACAATATTTCCCTGCATTACTTGGTGGCTGCTTCCATATTGTGGCTGCTTATGTGTCCCTGTGTAAGATAAGCACCTACCACCCATCCCTCTGACTTAGAGATCTGATCATCAGAAATGAGAACCTTGCAGACCATGAATAAGAAAGATTCCTTGTCTGTTGTTACTGTGGTCCTGTCCACACAAACCCCATATCTGTCCTCCTCTTTCCATCCAGGATTTCAGAGTGTGAAATAATGGGCATGTGGGGCCTCCCCCTCACCCTTGTGCTCCAGTGAAGCGGTAGTACAAGAAAACAGAGCACAAGAGCTACCTCAGCAGATACTATTGACTGAAGAGATCTGATTTTTCCAGGAGCAACAGAAAGCGAATCTCTACATGTTGAAAAAACACAGTCAATGTAAGGGACTGTTGAATAACTGTCATCTATCAGCTGCTACTTTGGTCTGTTGCCTCTCCTTCATCTGTTTTGAATCTGTTATTTTATAGAAGTCGTTCATGCCATCCATCCCAACTTGAAATAAAGATCCCTGCTTGCTTTGCAACTTATATATCAGTTGTTGTTCTAAGAGGGATGGTATACGCAGGACTCCCTGGTGGTACTCACAATGCTAGCCTTTAGGGTCTGTCTTGTGTTTCCCCCTACTCAACCCCAGCCTGTGAGCACTGCTGCTCAGGTCTGTCAGGGGACAACTAAGTGTCAGTCACAACACAACCAATTACTGACTTTCTAAACTGGGTCTAATTTAACTTTCTGTGGATTCAGGGTGAGGTTTAAAAGTGTATCACAATAAAGCAAGAAAGACTGATTCATTCACTGTCTGTATCAGGATGCTCTATCAGGTTTGAGTGTTACCAGTCCATATTAAGTTGCTGCCAGGGAGACGTTAGTCACTGCTTGTGATGAGGAATGGTGCAAGCCTGTGTAAAGGAAATGTGGAAATTTAACACAGACTGCAGCGGCTTCCATAAGCCAGGATATGACAAATCTTAAGCAGGCTTCTGCAAGAATACAGATCTGGAGGGGTCACTTCTGTCTTGTGAGCTAACTGGTCCCCTACCCAAAATATTTGTTACTACTGTAACATTAGTGTGTGTCCCCCTCCTCCTCAATTGCTGCAATCTCACTCCTTTTATATTTGTCTTTCCTCTTTTGTTGTTGTGTAGTTTTCAGTACGTCAACCCAGGCTTGTTCCTCCTCTGTACAGCTTGATATATCAGTCTACAAATGCTCCAAGATCCTTCAAGGCAGAAAATATTATACAAATAACCTGTTAAGTGCCTCGATATTTATATGACTTTGTGCTTGTTTTCTGCATTTCAAGATGTATTTATGCACTCCTGTGCCTACTTTGTTCAAGGAGGTTTATGTGTTCAGCTGTTTGGTTCTATCCCCGCTGCACTTTTCTAAGTGTTACGTGGAGCTCAGTTACTGCAGAAATTCAAATGTGCTTTCTTTCCACCAAAAGAAGGTGATATAACATACAAACACAATAAAGTCAACACTGGTTACATGCTAAGAAACTTTCTGCTCACACAGGCTGGTACTTCTTGATTCCCAAAGGTGCATGACATGTCAGAGCTGTTGACTGATTTGAAGAACGGAGATCCTTCTTGACACTTGCAGTCAATATTCCATTGGATGAATTCGGCAAATCTTACATCTAACTTTACTCAGCAAGGAAAAAAATATTTCAGGTGATCAGCCAGCCAACTACAAATGTTATTCTAAATACTGGAAAGGGCACCCTTTCTCCTGTGCTCTACTCAACCTGCATTCAGCATCCCACACATATGACTCACTGCTAGGCCTTGGGCAAGTCACTTCATCTTTTTCTCTCTCAGACTCTTTGTCTTTAAAACAGGGTAATAATACTTTCAGCAGTGTTGGGAGCATTAATTAGCTAATGCCCACACAGGACTCCAGACAGATCAAGCAGCAGATGAATGCAAAATAGTAGTATCATCAGTTACTGTTAGTCAGAATTTGTACTGGCACTGCTGTATTTTAGTGGGGAAAATAGGAACAGGTTCAAAAGGTAAGAGTTATATTCAGAAAACTGTTTTTGAAATAAATCTGCATTCTTATAATCACTCGTTCCTGCATGCTGATTTCTGTAGCTTATCAATATTTAAGCTGTTGGTGGGGTTTAGAATAATAGGACTTAGGTCTTCGTGGGATCTGAGGATATGCTTGCATTAGCCAAATCCTCATGATTCTTCTGCTCTGCAGATGGGCGAAGAATGAAGCAAAGGTGAATTGACTTTCCCAGAACATCACAGGGAATAGTGTCAGAACTGTGATTACATTCGGGACTATCTGAATCCCAACCCTGGATTTATTACTCCAGATCACAATACCTTTAACTTTTCATTGTTAAAGAATTCTTACAGAAACAGATAGTGGAATGAAGAAAATGGTCTAAATTTGTGTGTCAGAGCAACAAGATAATTTGTTCTAAACTTATACTGACAGTCAATGCTTTTGGGTTTTGGTTTTGGTTTTTTTTTTCATGTTGGACAGTACATGTACCTGTTTGGCAATTCAGCCTCATGCAGCCAGGACCCATGAGCAGAGTAACACTGAGTCCAGTGTGCAAATACGTTCTTATACTATGTGCGGGCACACATCTGTTGTAGAAAATCATGTAACCTTAAATCTCTGTTTTCTCTGTCCCTGGTAGTGCTTTGTTTTATTATTTGTAGGTTTGCTGGCGAAAGGGTACGAGACGGGAGGTTTGGGGAGAGGTATTATCTTTTTCTAACTCCTGTTCATTTCATGAAAGGTTTTTCCTTCCTCTTCAGAAATTGTTCTTTGCTGAAAGTAGAGACTCTTATCCTACTCCTTTTGCTCACAGTTCTGTGTTTTTCCACTCTCTGTTGAACAGTGAGAAATATGGGTGGACACTGTAACTGTTTGGGGTTCTTAGCAAAATGATAAATGTCAGGGTCCTCCTTTTGTTATAACAGACAGAAAACATCTATGTTTTGAACAACAGAACTGTTTCCTCCTTTCTTCTGTCATAATTAATTTTTCCAGTCTTCTAATTTGCCCAGTTTTGTCAAATCATGTGTTGTTGTGATCAGAACACAAGCACAAAAAGAACCTAATGTAGATCTGTCTCATACGTTACCCTCCAAGTAACTGTGTCCTTTGGACTGCACAGGTGTTGCAAAGTTCCTTGGTTTTGTGGTCCTGCTAGTGTAATCTGGAGAAGAGCTCATGAGTGCTTATTCCAAGGGATCAGAATTCAGAGAGCACAGATGTGACTCAGAGCTTTCTCTGATTCATTCCCCTGAACTGGGCTGGGCCTTCTGAGCTACAGCACAGGGCTGGAGATGGGGGATTATTTGATTTTGAAAGCATTGTCTTGCCAGTAGGCTAAGATGAATAGCTGAAGACAGCAGGCAGGGTTACAAAGATGCTGACCTATTGGGACAGGGCTATGAACTGATGGAGGGGCGCAACTTGCATAGACAGGATGACCACAGGTCTTACGGCACTATGCTTTCCTTTCTGCAGCCCTTCTGATTTCTGGTGGCTGATACAAAATGAGCTGTAGTCCCAGAAGTAGTGAAATAATGTGAGTGACATGTTAAGATTTGGAGCTGGCAATTATTTAATTCTCTGCCCTATTTATTGTGACATTTTCTCTTTTCACCTCCCTGTTAGAATATCCGCATACGTTCTGTGACAGGAGTTGGGTTCTACATGCCAGCAGGGAAGATCAGAGGCACATTGGCATCCCGATTCCTGATGGTGGATGGTGAAAAGGTGGCCACTGGATCATACAGGTGGGTTGCTTTTGCTTAATGCAAAGCCACATTCTTTGTGTAAAGAATGGCTTGTGGCTTTGCTTGAGAGTCTTCTTCCCATGTCATCGCCTTTCTTATCCTAGCCTCCATAATCTGTTTGGCATCTGTAGAAATTGGGGTGGGATGACAGAGAAGGTGGCATAAAGCACAAGTTGCTCCTGGGTGAAGGGAACATGCCCATGCTAGTGGACCATTTTAGTGGGCTAGCGATAGTTCCACACTGCATTGGGTGGTGGCCTGCAAGGATCAGCCACTGTGCTCAGTTCTCTTTAGTGAGGTTTTCAGTCTGGAGCCTTCTGTTCATGCAGTGCTGCTTTTATAAAAGGGTAAACTGTCATTCAGAGTTTTAGGGCCTTTTCTTCTGGATATGGTCTGCATGCCTAATGAAGCACAATAATAAAGAGCTTCACGTATCTATCCTGACCCATCTCGGCAAGGACATATGGACAAATAGTGCAATGCTACATATTCCCATGTAATGCCTTAGATATTGTTAGGTGGGCTGGGTCAAGTATACACCCAAAAATCTAATGTCGGTTCTGTTTCCTACTCTTAGCTTCACATGGAGTTCATCCCACATTGACAGAAACATCCTGCTAGTCTTGACAGGACAGCACGTGGAGATGTTTGACGTTGAGTTTCGTGAACTCTACGCCATCTCAGAGGAAGTTAATTTCTACAAGGAGCTGGGTATTGCTAACCCATTCCTTCTCGGAATTGGGAAGCCAGGCCTTCATTCCTCCACTGTGGCTCGGAAGTTCATTAATCCCAAGTATGGTTTAGTGGCAGGAGGAACCCGTGGTGATATGCTGCTCTGGGCTTCACGACATAGGCAGGATAATCAGGGGAACATGGAAAAGGAGGAAACAAGTGAGTCAAAGAAACGGTTAAATCAGTTTCTGAATGACTTAGTCACATTGGAGCAAGAATTCCCAGAAATTGATCCACCTCTGGAGAACTTGAACAAGCTGAATCGGAGCCCTCAGAAACTGTTCTCCCGGCTCCAGATGGACCTGAAAAATAAATCCAAATCCAGAGAATCTATTCGCGATGCAAAGAAAGAAGAAGCACAGGCAAATTCAAAGCAAGGAAAACGGTTTGCCAGTGGGCTTTTCAGTCGCAAGGCCAAACGGTCTCCAGGCTCAAGCATTGAGGCCAATTCTTTTGCCAGTGAAGGACATTCAGGAGAAGACCTTGGGAACATGAAACTGGAATATGAGCGGCTCAGCATTGGCCATGCCAGCGTTCGGAGCACTGGGGGCAACTCAGGTAAAACCTCTTCTACCAGCATATTCTGCTTACGCGTCACTTAGTTCTGAGTTTGGTTGATTGGTGCAAACATACTCAACTTAGGCACCCGTGAATAGATCCTGTTATTTCCTTTACATTGAAATGAGCAGGATCAAAGAAGAGTAGAAGTTGTATCAAATAAAGCGTAACTCCGAAGGCAATTTAATGCCAGTCTTATTTTAAGGTTGGTACTTCTCATGTAAATGTTTTCTGATACTTCTCAGCAAGCCAGTATGGGGCAAAGGGAGACAAAGATGAATGTCTCCTTGTGTAAAACAAGTTGCCTGTGCAGTTCTTGAAGTGCACTGCCCTAACAGCACTATGTTCAGTGTTATAGTGGGTAGCATCGTGCAGACAGATTACCAGTGTAACCCCTCCTTTCCTCATTTGGGTTTAGTCAAGTGTGTTTACTGTGGCAAGGTTACTGGTGGAGAAGAGTGGAAAATGTGTTTATGTTGAGGTGAGGGGGCAAGGAGTGGAGGACAGGGTGGAAGTCTCTTTAATTTGCTCCTTTATTACCTTCTGAAATGGGGAAGAAGGTCATGAAAATAGAAGCTATGGAGAAGTACTAGATCTCAACTTTTCTTTCTTTGCTAGCACACGACTGCTATTTTCACCAAGTCCTTCCAAGGCTTCATCCAGTTGAAGACACAAATGATAAAGATTTCTCCCAATTTATGGGTTCATAGCAAACTAACTAATGTTTTAGATGTTTTGTCAGATTCCAGTAGATCTATGGACTATTCAGCCTGGTTCTCATCCTCTCTCTGGGTGTCAATACATCCTGCGCCAGCAGGAAAATAAACTAGTTCCAGGGACAAAATTTCTCCTCAACTTGTCTGGCCAGTGACCATTCTGTGCTCTGATGAATGCGAAATGCAGGCATAGCGAGACTGAATTCCCTTGAGACTGCAATGATGTGAAATGGAAAGATATTCTCCGGAGACCAAAAAGAAAAGCAAGGTATTGGGCAGGTCAGCAATGGCAATTGATTAGATTCTTAGAAATATTTCTGGCTGAATGGACAGACTCAAAAATGCCAAATGAACACAAGAGAGGAACTGTAAGAAGGCATGGGTAGTTTATTTAAGACTATAGCAAAACCATTTTAGGATGCGCATTTGGCATTTGGGCAGGCAGAAGTAAACACTGGTCTAAAGAGGTCCTCTCTCCAAATCACTTTATGTCCTGAGCACAGACAGTATGTGCTGCTGGGTCCCATTCCTCAGAGCCAGGAAAAACAAAATCGGTGAAGAGCTATAGGGAAATGTATGGACATTGCCTCTTGGAGGAATGGACCTGAGGGCTTGCACTACCCTCTAGTGACAGAAGTAGAGAATTGTGTAATCTCTGATTTGTCAGCACTTTACAATATCAGAGATTCCCTATGTTTCTCACTGTCAACTGTTTTAAAGCAGACAACCCACCATTCCTGCAATGTCATGATGAAATTAGGCCCAGATTAAGGCACAAAAGAGATTGATGCCTCCAGTTGAACAATGGGGCACGACGCCCTTCTGGGGCATTGCACAGTCAGGGCAGCAGGGGTGTCCCTATCCCTTTTAACACAGTGGATCTGTGCCAGACAGTCTGATGCTTGGTCTGGACCATTTCCACAAAGACACTATCATGCTATTATGTTCAAGTCTTATTTATTGCCACTGCTACTTCCTGAGGGCTGCCACCTCTTTCAATAAAGGGGAAGGAAGAATTGAGAACAGGTGCAGGGAAGGCACAGACGTCCAGCACACCATCCTTCCCACTGTGCTCTTCCTGACCTGGTAAGTCTTTGCAAGGAGTCCATGCAAGTGGTTTTTTGTTTTATGCAAGTTGAGAATGCCCGTTCATGGTGGCAATGGGAGACTCCACAGCTTTTGAAGTATGGTGTAAGTAGACTTAGGTCATCTGGTGTTGTAAAAAGCTGGAAGAAGATCACTGCTTGTGTGTTGCTTTTGAATTGAATCACTGCTCTTGAGAGAAAGCTTCTCTAGTTTAGTGATCCCACAGTGGCATGTGAACAGAGATGGTAGAGGGCACATTAGAAAGATGGAAACTCACGAGAGGATGCTGCGGCTACTTGATCAGTGGGACATGCTTCATTAGGATTTAGTAAAAAATTCTTGAACATGGCTATGGAATAGAGTTCCAGCTTCAAGATAAAAATAGGAAGCACTTTGTTCTTGGGTAACTGTAGGACTGACTTAGTTTTGAAAGTTGTCTTTGAGCAGGTCTAGTAAAAACTGATGCTGTGATACTCTGGGTGACAGAAGGGAGGTAAGAAGTGGAAATGAAGGAGGGAGAAGGTGCTTGGTATGCAAGCAGGTTAGGATGCAATTATTCAGAGCTTCACAGTTTGAAATAGCTGCCCTTACCTTTTGTAAAGATTAAACAGCACACTTAAGCCCTGTGGACCTGCCTGTGCACACATCCTCCAAAGTCACTATTAATTCTGTAGTACCACAGAGACACATCCCACCTTGCAAATGCATAGAGAGACCAGATCCACACCCCAAGTAGTTCATAGAGTAATTGAAAGACATTATTCAAGCAGGCTAAAGGTCAGGTTCAGTCTTGTAGGAGCAAATGGTGATGAAGAGAATCCCAGCTGGGAAGGGAAGTGATGAAAATGCGTTCTGCGACAGAGTCTGAAAATCTGTCAGGGTATTTACATGCTAGAAAAGGATACCTACAAGTCAGAATTGGGAGTCTGGAAAATACAAGGGCTTCAAATAGTAATGTCCCAAACTAAGTGGCCCAGTTAACATCCTGAGGTGTTGTCCTAGCACACTGCACAGAGACTGTGCTTTGTCTTACAAAGCTTTCTTAAACCACACCATCAAATTGACACAACTCTTGAATATCACTGTTGCCTGCTTAGGAACACAAGAGCAGCAGCTCTGAACCTGACCAGAATCTTGTTAATTTTAAGCTGCTGACTGTGATCAGCAAAGACACTGATATCTGTGTGCAGTTTCTGGGAAATACTGAAAGGGTTTGAAAGCTGTATGTCTTTGGAAGGCACTGGCATTTTGTTTTCTCCCCTGCAAGACACAAAGTGATCAGTTATCACCATTTTTTTCAACTGAAGTGGGATCATGGACAGGCGGTAACTGGAATTTTCAGCATCTTTTCTAAAGAGAAAGAGGGGAATGTTGTTGGCTACATACAAGGAGGGTGTTTGCTCTAACTGTAGCAGGATCTGTAGAAAAAGGTCAGAAGACAGGAGTAGAAAGTGAGAAGAATAAAGGAGTTGGGAATAGAGATTAAGCAGAAGAGAACAGACGCTTTTGAAAGTAAACATGAGGGTCTTGAATGTGATACAGACAGGGAGGGGAACAGGGGTGGTGAGGAGATAGCAGTAATGGTGAACTGAGTAGTAACATACAGAATGGGTTAAAAGGGGGACGGGAGGTAGAATGAAATGCCATAGGGAGATGTGGGGAGGAGGCAGTAGCATATAGAGAAACCACAAAAGTGAGGGCAGGTTGCAGTGCAGCCTCTCACGTGGATATCGAGAAGTTGCAGTGTGGAAGAATGTGGAGAGAAGGAGGGGGAGAGGAGAGAGTTCTCTTCTCCATCACCTACAGATGAGGAAAACATTGATCAAATATCCACCAGCAAGAGAGTGACATGAAAAATTATTCACTCGAAGCCCAGTGTCAGAGGCAGTGCTTGGGCTGACAGCTCCCTTGTCTTAGCAAGGTTGAGACTTCTGAGTAGCACGTCACCATGACCTGTGGCAGTTTTCCGTCCCCATTCTCACCCTGTACTGGCCACTGGCTCTGACTGCTCGGTAGATGCACAAGTATCTTCCTTCTGTACAAATACATGAGTGGGGTCTGCTCTTGTTCAGAGTGACTGCAAGTCACATGGCAGTCCCTTTCAGTACATACTGCCCTGGGCTATGGGTCAGGTAAGCCTTGCTGAGCTCAGAGCACAGCAGAGTTCCCTCACTTGCAAAAGCCTCTGCAAACACACGTTAGTACAGTGCTTGAAAAAAATATGCTGGGGCATCCAGACCAACAGTTGGCTGTAATGAAGGAGATCAGACAGCAGTGCAAGCATTGAAAAGTACAGATAGATACTGGGAGCAGAAGGAATCCATGGAGTGGTCAATAAAAAAAACCTAAGATGATAAAAAATTGGGGCAGCATACTGTGCTAGTTAAGTGAGAGACCCTGAGGCCTCGGGATGTGTTTTGCAAAGGAACTGGTGGGAATACTGGCACTTGAGATGTTTAAAACAGGATGTGAAAAAACCTCTACTGAGAATATGTGTGGGGATCAAATGGATGAGATGTCCAGACTTTTTATTTTTTTTTTAAATCTCTCACTCTTTGGAAAACCTCCCACCCAAGTAATGGCCAGATTGTTTTTCATTGCCAACTGGGACCTGAGAATACCACTGAAGCTGGCCTGGGTACAGGCCAAAGCCTGGAAATACTTCTCCAGTGGTTTTCTCCACAGTATACTCTGAATTTGCTCGTATTTTAGTGTCTCTTCATTTCACAGTTGTAGGAAATAAAACCACAAGAGAGTGCAGAGTAATGTAGGTCTAACACAAGGTATATAGTAAATAACAAGAGAGGAATAAAGTGTGAGTCCAAACTTTATCCAGGTCTTATTTACTTAAGATTAACATTACTTTTAACTTCTTTTCATTCCAGGTAACCCGGGTCCAAACTCCACTACGAGCGATAAAAACAAACCATCTGCCTGTGTGTTATCTTGATTGGGAAGGATTATCTGGAGAACTGAGCACTGAACAAGCTGAAACAGTAACCTCTTGATTGATTTTGAACCTACAGCCACATCCTCACGCAGTGGTCTGTCAAGCCACTGCGCAGTCCTGGATGCACCTGGCACCCCCAGTTAAAGCACATTCACTGTGTGAAGCGTAGACTTTGGATGGTCGGTCCCTTAAATAAGGGTTAGTGATGAATGTATTAGTCCATATGTCTATGTGCACACATATTTTATATATAAAAACAACTGTGATGAGTGGTCTCAGAGCCCGCTCTGTGTCCAGATAAATGCAGGTGATTTTCTGACTTACTTGTGCTGCTACTTCAGTCTGTCTAGCTACAGACTCAGAATCACTGTGTTGCATTGTTTACTCTACTGCACTGCAGATATATATTGGTCTGACTGGCTGGAAGGCTAAATCCCATCGAAGTGGCAAATTCTGGGTGATATAAGAATGTTTACAGAGAGCATAACAATCCTTTGTCCACAAGGAGTCTTCCTGTAGATTCCTGTTGTCACACACACAGAAATGAGTGGTCAGGGAGAAGGGTTTAGCTAGCAGAGGCCAACAGATTAGTGTCTTAACTGTTTCATGTCATAAATGTAGCAGTTGAACAAAGTGATTTAGCAAGAATGTAGTAAAGAGAAAAAATGGAATTTAGGGGGATGCTTAACCTGCAGTTGAGACCGGGTCAGGAAAAATGCCTTTTAAGGAGACTGGGCAGGATCCAAGAGTTCACCAATACTTTACCATTCACAGAAACTGAATGATTAAGAAGCACGTCTTTAAGGGTTGAAAAAGGAAGCAGAGGAGGCATACAAGCTTTTCAAATGTTCCTTTTTTTTTTTGAAGTTAACCTTTCAAAACTCTAAATTGTGCCAAAATCGAGAGCTTTGATCCATAAGAAGTGCTGTATGCAATCATACCAAAGACCATCTAATCTGCTATCCTGTCTGTGAGGACAGCCAGTAACAGGTGATCACAGCAGCATAAAATATAAAGCTTGTACACAGAGGTCTTTCTTTGACACCGTTCCAGCAGTCTATGAACTTTCTGAACTGGCAGTTCCTTCTGGGCCTGGTCTTAATGAATGCACTTAGTTCCTTTTTAAAAATCCTTTTCTACTTTTGGCCTCCATGGTGTTCTGTGGCAATGAACCCTGAGTTCGTTGTGTATTATGAAAAAGAACTGTTTTCAAGCTGTTTTAATGGTTTTCTTGATGATTTCATTGAGTGACCCTAATTCTTTCACTGTCAGATGTAGTGATGACCACCCCTATTCCCTGTCTCCTTGCCACTTGTGGTTTTACAGACCTATATCATATGTGTCCTCAGTCATCACTTTTTCCAAGTTGCAGGTTCATGATATACGTAGCTATTCATTATATGAGACCTGTTTGACACCTCTGTCCTCTTGTTCACTGGCCACCTTCCAGTTCTACCCACTAACAGAGAAGAGAAGCGGGTTGTTTTTGTTTCTTTACTGTGTGGATTGATGGTTCACTTTGCTTTCTTGCCATCTAAATTACATACTCTGCTGTCGTAAATAAGCCCTCTTGTGATACCTAAGAAAAATAAATCCTAATAGTAAGTAGACACCTGAAAACTAACATACCTACTTCCCAAAAAACTATTCAGACATCAGAAAAACACAGGTTTAGTTTTCTTTCTTTTTGTTTAGAGAAACCATTTGGGTTTTTCACTGCACAAGGAATTCATAGCAAGGACAACTGCTGCACTCCCAACACAGAAAAAGCTGTTCCAAAGACTCTTCTAGGTGCTGGGTTGCAGTAGTGGTTGTTACACTGAAACAGCTGCCTGTAGTTGGTGATAAAATGTAATTGATTGATTGTTTGGTTAACTGCCTTTCCTGGAAGTGTATTCAACTTGAATGGTAAGCAGGTCTACTTTACTCTTGAGTTTACCCTGCAGAATGTCTTAAGATCATAAAATACTGAAGGTATTGTGCACTCTGTTAAATCTTCACTCAGTGGGTTAAATGCTTGCTACTCTATATAGCTATTCTATATAGCCTTCTGGGAACGAGCTGTAGTTTTACAGCTGGGTCTGTCAGCTCCTATTATCAGCAGTGTTTTATAAAATTGTTCCTGGTAAGGGGAGAAAAGAGGTATTTGAAATGACACCATCGCTTGGATGTAGAAGTAACTTAATACATGAGTTATCCTGTTGGCCTGAGGTGTACTGCTCGTGTGCCAAAACCTACTTGCTGTATGTTTGTAGAATTGTCTAAAATGGCTTGATTTCGCCATACTTCCATTATTCTCCAGATGTTTGTGAGATTTTTTTTTCTCTCCTTGTATTTATTTCACTTTGTTAACAGAGATCAGAGATAACTTCATCAGGCCAACATTGTTCCACTTTTTGTTCTGATAAGAACATTGTCATCTGGCCCTTCCCTATCCTCCCAGACTTTTAAAATATTTATTTATTTTTTAATTGTGCAATAAGTTAATTAACTAATTAGTACCATGTTGATATATATGGTCAGGTTTTCCAGGAAGTCCTCTATCTCTTTGTGTTTATGTCTTCATTGCTTTCATCTTGGGTAGAGTGACTTCACAAATAGCCTGAGAGGCTGATCTCGCTTGCCCTTCCTTTCCTTCTGTGCTTGCTTATTAACATGCTTTACTTTCTCTTTCCTATGGCAGATGTGAGTGCACTTTTCTTTAACCTTGTCAACTAACAAGATCTCCCTTCCAGTGAGAGTCTCATCTGTTGTCTTCTGTTTCGTTGCCACACCAGTTCCTGAATGAAAGGTGGTGTTCACGTGTTTTTAAATTCCTTCACCTGTCACGGAAGTCAAGTCTTATGCCTTGACTCCAGGGGCTAGTAGGATTCCTTAGGCTTATCACACACTGTTTAATTACTTAATGTGAGAGAGCAAACTTGCTTTCTTGCATGATATGAATCTGCTCCTTAAACTCTTTGGGGATGCATGCAGCCTTGCTGATCCAGAGTGGATGTTTCAGACTCTGGTAGAACTTGTTCTTCCCTGAAGATAAGATCAGCTGAACTTGGACTATTTGGCTGCTCCTATGGCAACAGATGTGAGTCTGGGTGAGGTGACCACATTTATTTTGACTAGTTTTGCTAATTGTGGTTCTTGATGAGTGCTAGAAACCTGAGGCTGTGACCTGTAAAATTAATATCACTCTCCAGATAAAATGTGGTTGCTGGTGCTGGGGGGCAGAGGGGCAAGCAGCAGTGGTTATGAATTCTGTTGGAAGTCTGCTAGTGGAGGCTTAAGGTACAGCAGTACCTACAGCAGTCTTCAAATAAGCAGTTGTTTGCTCCTTGCCCAAGTGCCACCTTTTGCAACCAAGTCACCAACCTCGCAATGGGGTGGGAAGGATGGGAGACATTTGTTGTTCTGTTGCTATTTTAAAGAACAACATTAACTCTCTTTGGCATCTGTGTCCTGAACCCGGACAATCCCAAGAGGACGCCTGTTCTCTGGATCTTGTTCACTCTTTGGCTTGTCAGCCCAGGTTTTGTGTGGTGTACCATGGGGCTTACGCTTGCAGTCCTGGTTTTGGACAGAGAGTAACAAAGCTGGTGCTCGCAGCTCTTTCTGGAGTGAAATGGTGAGTGATTCTGAATGAGCCTCTTGGCTGAATGCATACCTTCTGGGTTTCTTTTGGTATGCATTTGTATATTTAATGTATATGTGTCCAGTGAGTTATGCCAGAGACCTTTTCGAAGTCAAACAAATAAACTCTTTACAATGTTACATTCAGATAGTTTTGTTCATTGGTGTCGCTTTTAATTTCTCAGCTACAGTTCCTGGTTTGGGGGGATTTTTCTGTTTATCTGTCAGGAACCTGTACTGTCTGGATTAGAGCAGGTTTCTGTGTAACAGAACATCTTTGTGAATGAACATCTTTGGCCAATGTTTGGTGGTGCATGTTAAAAGGTGTGTGGGCAGCTAAATTCCCCACAAGTACAGTGTCACGTGGCTTTGAGTAGCTTGAGAGAGACTGATTCAGTCCTGCTTTCGTGGTGCTGGAGTAGGCTGTAGCAGATGCCCACTTCAGTTTCTCTTTATTTTCTTTATTTTTTACTACCGCTCGCATTGCAGCTGAACTGTATCTTGCTGCAGCTATAAATGCATCTGACAAAGTGCCACCTCTGTTTCCCTTTCCATCTTTCTTATATAATTTGTACCCATCAGCAATGACATTTCATTTATGAAACTGAGTCCCTCTGTTACATTTCAGTTTTACCTGGTACAATGTAATCCTTGACATTTAAGTAACTCCCAAGCTCTTGTTTCCCATGCTCCCTTTGTTTGTTTACACAAAAGCCTGTTTTAAAATTCCTGGCCATGTTTCAGAATAAATCCAGCCTCTATTTTACTTTTGGGCATTAAGGTACATGAAAAAGTAATAGCAGTAAACAAAGTTTTCATCTTTCTTCCAGTGTTTAAAGTCCACATAGCAATTGCCTTCGTAGAGTTGAAGAGGAGTCTGTCTAATCCAAGCTCGTTTCACAGGGTATATCAGGGCTCCGTGGATCCTGAGCCTCTTTCTTCACAACACTTTGTGCCTTTTCTTTTTCTGTACTTGTTTTAGGGAGGTTCTCCAAGAAAGAAAGATAAACTTGTCCTTCCCTTTGCTTCACTGCTGTTTTAATATTATACTTTTCTCTTGTTTCTTGACACTTTTGTCTGTGCTTTAAAATCGGAGAGCAGTCCAGGAATGAATGACCTCTTTGTGTCCCTAGACCTTATGTCCCCTGTCCCTAGCCTGCTGAAGAAATGCAAATGTGGGAATCCTCATTAATAAGCAAGGCTCTGGAAAAGCACAATCGGTGACTGTAGGAACCATCTTGGAAGAAAAACCTATGGATGTAGATGAAACGGTAAGGCTTTTATGCGTGTAGCAAGGCTGGCAGATGTTTACCTAACTCTTTGCACAACACCTATTTATGATCTTTCTTGCAAGTCTGGGCACGTATACTTGGGGA